TATCCTTAATTTGTATGCAATTTGACAACTAAGTATTCCAAAATTAGTATAGCCAAATCATCGATGGAATGGGTTTCAGATAAAGCGCGGACACTTATAGCAAAATTAAAATCCTTTAACTAGGTCATTTTTTAATTTGAAACAACAAACGTGACTTTCAAATTATTTCATTATCAATATTCCTAAGTAGAGAAGAGTTAGTATCTATCCCATCATACAAAAAAAGATGTAGGTGTCTCAAACATTCAGAATCATGTCAAAGAAGTATACATATTCATTTTGTTTGAGACGAATAAATATATTTGATGAATCATTTGGAGAATATGAAACCAAGATCTTAGATCAATGATGGTGAAAATTTGAAACAATCATTTCATTTAATTTATTTGAAAATAACAGCAAGCTGAATGAAGATAATGAAACTTGGTGGAAGTTGAGTTTCTGATTACCTGGGTTTCCTGTCATGAAATTAGTAATTTCAGCAAATTGCAAAAAAAAATAGATTGAACTATCGAAGTATCCACGCTATATCAACATCGATAGACGTATTTTGTCAAACAATGAATGCTATTAGAAGTCATTTTTGATATGAAAATTGAGCACTGGTGAACTGAGAAGGCCTCGTAACCAAAATGAAAAAATGTTACATATATATATGCATAAATAGAGTAAAACTGAAATAATTCGATCATTTTGATGATTGCTAACTTTCTTCATGTGCACTTTGTTTGAATTTTTTAAAATAATATGAAAGTAGAAACAATCGGCGGTCACAACCAGCACCAATATCGATGGATTTCATAAAATCGCTGTAATAAAATGATGATTAACAAGTTTACGGCTAAATTCTTACCGTAAATAAGGAAGATAACAAAAACTGTGGAAAAATTCAATAAATATATATATTATAATGAAAAGGCATTGCTCAGGGGGTTTTCAATTGTATATACAAAAAATTATACTACAAAACTGAACGAAATCAATACTATCAGTTGTTGATTTTGCATACTCTTGTTCTCAATCAATATAACTAAAAACTTCAAAGTAAAATCTAATGAAGTAATCAAAATATATTCGATTTACTTGGATCAGTATATGCAAAGACTAATCGAAAAACAGCTCATAATCTGACCAATCCGATTCATCGGAATCTGTAAAAAAAGATACTAGATCCTCCAAATCGTCTGCCAGAGACTGCCAAGGAAAGTCCCGTTCATCAAGAAAGTCCCACAACATCACCTGCTGCAAAAAAATACAACCGTGTTACTCCAAAGACACACGAGGTGTTTTGAAATGAGATGTAGGAATATTCCAACTGGTATTTTACAAAGATTTATGAATATCCCCCCACTGGTATTTTTTTCCTATCAGTTCTTTGAATAACATGAAAATATCTTGGGACATTAAACCTGTTGAAATATTCTCAGTATTGATTCCTCCAACACCCAGCACATAACACTATGAAATACCAACGCACAAGCGCACATAGAGGAAATACCAATGCAATAGAAAACGCCTACATGACAAACTTGAATTTTTCAATGATGAAATGTGCCATAAAAAAATCCAGGCCAAACCTACCTTCATCTACATTCATTTGAGTTAGCATCTACGTTTAATAAAAACCATATCAATATTAAACATTATTCCTCGCTGTACTATTTATGTACAGAAAGATTCAAACTCCCCGCACCTGGCTCATAACAGGAAAAGTAAAACTGCAAATGCAAATTTGGCAAGAAATTTAAATAGATTTTTCTTGTATTTAAACAATAGTAGTACTAGAATATGTACTTAATTGGTATGTATGTATGTATGTATGTATGTATGTATGTATGTATGTATGTATGTATGTACATACTAGGAATTTACTTCGATATATCGATATTCCGGTGGTGAAATATTGATATATCGAATATTCAATTATTCGAATAATCGAATATTTGAAATATCGGGATTATAAAGACGTTTGGCAAGAATAATTTACCTATAGGGAAACCGTGTATGTGGCATATACGTATTAATAATCAATACGGATAATCTCTATCTGTTTCCATAGCGAAACATGAAGCCGATTTTTGAAGACAAATGACTATCCATAAGGAAAAGTTTTGAAACGATCAGACACATACTGCTTTGATTGAAAGGCTAGTAAACGTCATTCTCCACCGAAACGCATGTCTTTGATGACTACTATAATAGCGCATGGCGCATGCGTATCATGCCACCAAATCCTTATGGATATTCATTTGTTTCATATTTTTGGCTTCATCGTGGCACCCGTTATGATCCGTATTGTTTATTAATACGTATATGGTATGTGGGCATTTTGAAAAAGCGACGTTGCCATACGCTTCTTATCGCGCTAACCCCCTCCTACGAGCGACTAGCGAGTCAATTTTCAGGCCCGACCGAAGGTATTATGGATTGATACACGTGCAACTTGAGTAGGTGGGGCAACGACGCTATTTTCCTCTCTTCGTTGAATACCCATGAATCTATAGACGAATTCATTTACACAGTTTCTCTATAGGAAAATTATTCTTGCCAGGCGTGTATACAGGGTGTTATTTAAGTACGTGGCCAAACTTGAAGGGGTGATTCTTCGAGTGATTCTAAGACGAAAAGTTCATATAAACATAGGTCCGGTAATGCTTCGTTTTCAAGATACAGGGTGTCAAAATTTTTAAAAGAAATCGTTTTTTTCGTTAATATCTTAATAAGCCTTCAACCGATTTTATTGAAATTTGGCAGTGTTATTCAAGGTCGTAAAGGGCTAATTTAACCCTAACTATATCAAAATTATCATGTCCAGTGGCGTCCCGGAAGGCACTGTAACCAATATTTTTGACAGAAAAAATGTGCGCCACTGATTTTTTTGCAATTTTTGTATTTGTTACAACTTTTTTGTATCTAGAATTTTTTTCGTATCTTGCTTTGTTTTTGAGAAAAAACATAAAAATCACTTCATTGCACATCCCTGTGACAACACAATAAAACATTTCAACTACGAAACCATCAAAAACTGGGGTCTTACTAATATTTTTTCATATTAATACTCTATTCTAGTCTTGGAATTTTCTATTAAAATTAATGCAATGAAAAAACAAAAAATATGTATGTATGAATTGCAGCACTTGCCTTCGGCTCTTGGCTTCGGCTCGTCACAGATGTGCAATGAAGTGATTTTTATGTTTTTTCTCAAAAACAAAGCAAGATACGAAAAAAATTCTAGATATAAAAAAGTTCTAATTTCAGTTGCTCAATGTGAAACAAATACAAAAATTGCAAAAAAATCAGTGGCGCACATTTTTTCTGTCAAAAATATTGGTTACAGTGCCTTCCGGGACGCCACTGGACATGATAATCTTGATATAGTTAGGGTTAAATTAGCCCTTTACGACCTTGAATAACACTGCCAAATTTCAATAAAATCGGTTGAAGGGTTATTAAGATATTTACGAAAAAAACGATTTCTTTTAAAAATTTTGACACCCTGTATCTTGAAAACGAAGCATTACCGGACCTATGTTTATATGAACTTTTCGTCTTAGAATCACTCAAAGAATCACCCCTTTGAGTTTGGCCACGTACTTAAATAACACCCTGTATATGGAGTTATCTAATAATCGGTTTAGTGTGTCGAAAGTACCCCGTTCACAGTCGGTCCCGTACACACAGAATTGAATATGATTGGAATGAATTAAAAACAGACAACAAATTCCACTGCCACCGAGTGCGAGTAGGGCTGTAAATCGAAATTATATTCCGGTGAAACAATTTGGATATATAGAATATTTGATTATTCCATCCAATAGTCGAATACTTATTTCAAATATTTGATAAATGAAATTTTCGAATGCTTATTCAATATATCGAATATTCTAATATCCGATATATTGAAATATCAGATATATCGAATTTATAACCGATATATCGAATATATCGATATATTTCAAATATCGATTTTCGATATCTAATTCTCAATATCGCCCAGCTCTAGTACAAACCAACTGGCCATCGACCTTACGAGGGGTCTTTTTTTTATCTTCATTTGGTTTATAGCTATGGGCCTAAGGTTGCCATTTTCAAAATCGATTAAAACTGAAACCAGGCCGACTTGATTTTTATTACGGCGGGAAGAGTTCAGATTCATTTAAAAATACCAACTTCAGAGTCCCACAGCTTCCAACCAAATGAAGATAGAGAAAACTTTTTGAATAAAAGTTGTTACAAAAATAGGTTCTCTCAGAATATGACAAAAAATGGTAACTTTGTTTATTAAAAATGATACTTGTGACGCCATTTTCGCCATTTTGAAAAGGGTTGAAGAATGTTTGAACACGAAAAAATATACCTTACACACAGCTATTCAAATTCCTTCTGCCAAATTTGAATGTGCAGTTTTCCTTTTTTTTTGTTAAAAGCCAAGAGCGGGCAATTTGAATCACCCTGTACATTCACATGCATTCGCCAAATGACGTTATATATCATTCATAATCTTTGATTGATAAACTAATCGATAAACAGTGTTTCATGGTGATGCATTTCATTAGAATGGGCGAATGTGGATAAAGAAAACCCACTAGCCAGGAAAGTAGTTGTTTTCTGTTGAATAAACCGAGAAAGAGTTTATATTTTCATCACATAGAGAATGCGAATTCTCAATGTATATCCATTTTTTCATGTTCATCATTTATTTGAGAATACTCATTTTCAAAACCCACTAACACAAAAAATTAAAACGAAATATGGCCCCACTGTATCTATATCAACCATATAATAGGTATGCAATCTCAGTCATAGTTGATCAAACATGAACATTTTCTGGAGAATCAAGAAGTACAAAGAAATATTGTTGCATTAGATCATAGGGATGGTTAAATAAAGAAAAATACCAATGCACACCCAACATGCTAAAGCTGAAATAAATATGGGAAAAAATTAGAACCCAAAGGCAAGCATTATAAAATAAAAAAAAAAATAGATAACGAGTTTACCTGCAAGACATCTATATCATTATCGACATTTCTGGGTCGTCTTTGCCTCAGAGGAGGCCCAACATCACATTTGCTTCCATCGGGAAAGGCGTGCAAATAGAAGCATTTATTACCGAATGGGCATTTGCCTTGCCCCTTTTTAAAATATTTACAGTCTTTTCTAGATAAAGCTTTTTTATAATCATCGATTAACTTTTCTTTGTCTTCTTTAGTATCTACCCAGTACATGCTGGGACAAACGAAATCGGAAGTTACTCTACATTCTGGACAAGCCCTAAAAATATCATAGGATGATTTACTCTGCCTGTCTGCCTGTCTCAGCTTTACTTCAGTTTTATCTACAGTCTCTCAAACCAACCAAGATATGATGATGCTACTAGTGGTAGGATTTTTTATTTCCGAAGTCATGGAAAAAATTCATTGTTTTGCCAATTTTGTTTTTCCCGTATAATTGGATTTTCATAGAGATGATTTTTTTTTATCTCTTGGAGCGCACGAAAGGAAATTCCTATAATGTTCGTGGAACATCGGTACCTAGGGAGGATCCTTTGGAGGTTATAAGTTCTTGCAAATACTTCCATTGACAAGAAATTACGTTCTATAGAGAAACGCGTTTTGGTAGTGTTGTCTGACTGGTATTGCTAGTGACTAGTGATGGAATTATAACAGAGATTTCTAGGGATTCAACTAATATTCAAGTGATGACCCAAAAGTTCAGATCTGGTTTGTTAAAAAGAAAGTAAGTAAGTTTTACATACCTGATTATCTTATTTTCAAACTGACGAGCCTGTCGCCATTTACGAATGCAGCTTAAACAAAAACAGTGATTGCAATTTGGCAAAATCCCAAATCTTTGTTCGCCATTAGCCTTTTCCATGATAACCTCAAAGCAGACACCACAAGTCTTTTCTTTAGACCGTGCAATAGCGAAAGACAGTTCCATGTTCTTTTCATGTTGCTTCAAACATTCCTGAAAATTAATTCTTCATTCTGGTGATTTCTGTAAATAAATTATTCCAGGCTTACTTGACGGTGCTTTTTTCTTTGTTCCTCATTAAAGGGGTGTAAAATAAGCCGCTCGCACATATCACACATTTCCCCATGTAAATACGTACAATCAGTCAAATTTCTACAAATTCCATCCTTATTCACATAAGGGCAGAGCTTTCTATTTGCATTTTTTTCAGCAATCGCTTCTGGACTGAGTGCTTCTGCATAACTTCTTGGTCTGATAATTGTGTTTTTTGGCACAAATTCAGGGGCATTCACCCAAGATTCATCCATGCTACTACAAGTCAATGGTGGAGAAGCACAAGCACCTTCTTGCTCTGATTCTGACTTATTGTCATTTTCTTCGTGGCTGAAATGTGATTCAAAAAAGGTTCTTTTATAATCCATATTTCACTACATTGTTCCCAAGTCAAAAATGGCTGAATATTATTGTCGAGAAATTTCGCACCAAAACTGGATTCACATCCCTTTAAAATCAATAAACCCACCATTTCATAAAAACATGTCCATCAACAACAAAGTAATAGAAACGTTAATTTTAGGAACGCACCAGACGAAATATGAAAGCTGGCAACATTGTTGAACATTCACATCTAATGGTGTCAGACTTTCAAGAAAAAATAAGTTTGGCAAATGTGGAAAATCCGACTTGTTAAATAAGGGTGCTCCGCTCTTGAATGTGACACACTGTTGTTTATATTTTTATTTGTGATAAATCTTTATTTTTACTAAATTCCTTTGCTTTTATCCATCCTCTATTGGCACCGGAATGGAATTGAAATTGAAAAGAAATCATTAAGATATCGGACGTTGCCTTATGGCAACTCTAGGCGATTAAAAAGGTAATGGAGAAATTTAGAATGATTAATTGGTTGAAAAAAGTTGAAAAAATGTACAGCAGATTTTCGGAAAACTAACTTTTAAACCCTAGAAGCTTACCTTTTGGAAATAAACAGAAAAAATTAAATATCTCAGTAACCCTGTATACCTACAACTTTCCTACTACGAAGTTCCGAAGAAGTCAAGAAACTGAGTTAGTGAGGCATAATCATCTAGACGGATGACATCTAAGAGCATCAACGTATGTTTGGGTGTTGAACCCTATTAGTGGGAACAATATTCCACTAGCTGAATCCGCGTCTAACAGATCATGAAAGGTTACTGAAGTGTAAAGCAGCTTTTTGCACGGTAAAAGGTTGTACATTTGCATAGAAATAAGTCATTCCATAATCAGAGTGAAGTTTGAAAACGAACAAAACACTTACTCGTCGTTATTTTCATGATTGCTCTGAAGAAAATCAAGCGAATTTGCTAGTATAAAACCAGATCGAGCGGCTCTATAGCAAATTCAACTATTTTCTGTATCCGACATTTCATTATTGGCCACTAACCAAACCGATATTTCATACGCCTCCACACGTGTTTTGCTAACTATGATAGAATCTCCAGGAGAAGATTGAAAGTTTAGCTACGGCCCACATATGAAAAATTGAAACGCTCCTGTAGTAAGGGTTTCGAGTTTCTTGGGGATGGTGAACAAATTTATAAATGTATCCTTTACTCCTTACCCAAAAAAAAATTAAATAAACACGCCCCTGAAGTAACGATTCTCATTCCTTTCTACATGTTCATAGAATTTTTCGTTGCCGACCGGCCTGACCGACCGGTCGTTGGTGTCACCTGACTGCTCACAATGACAAATACGAATGGTTGTACAAAATCCTTAACTACCTTAAACTTTACTAATCAACTAATAATATATCGAAAATAACACATAACCTGGCACCTTAAAAACGAGATATATTAGAAATGATCTATTTTATCAGTCATTAAATTCCTCGATACAGATTTTTTTGAATGCAATAATAATTGTGACCTGTATACCAGAAATAATACACTCAAGTGAATCATCTAGTGATGTAATGCTATTTTTGTTGAAATATTAGCTCCCTTTCCACTGATTGTTTCGAGGTTATAATTCATAACCTTGAACCTCATCGACCATCGAAAAGCCCGGGCGAAGTTGTCTTGGATCGGTCGGCCATGGTCTTCAATAAAAAAAGTTACCATTTGAAGTTCGGTCAATGCGGTCATCAATCAAAAACCCAGCGGTCGAAGTGTCGAACCGACCGGTCGGCAATAGAAAACTCTCCTCATTATATTCTAGCATTGGCGTGCTATGATTTCTAGTTTAATATCAAATCCATAGATGAAAACCCAAAGTCATCTCCACAACTTTTATTTAATGATCATAGATCATATAAGGGAACATGTTTCGGGCTTATATAAGCCCATCATCAGCCAAGAAAATGTAAAGTTATGGAAGTGAAAAAAGTTGCAATGTGTATACAATAAGCAATAACGGGGCAAGCAAAAGCCATTGCTCCATGATTGTTTATATGGTAAAAATGTTTTTTAAATTTTTTTTAATAAAGTTGAAGGTTGGGGGTCGGGAACATATTTAATAAGGGCCCACGGTACCCTTAAATCACCGATAAGTGGTAATTAAACTTGAAAATATCAATCTTTTATAATAAGAAAATAACCAATTTCCGAAGCCACATCTTTCTTATTATAAAAGATTGATATATTCAAGTTTAATTACCACTTATCGGTGATTTAAGGGTACCGTGGGCCCTTATTAAATATGTTCCCGACCCCCAACCTTCAACTTTATTAAAAAAAATTTAAAAAACATTTTTACCATATAAACAATCATGGAGCAATGGCTTTTGCTTGCTCCGTTATTGCTTATTGTATACACATTGCAACTTTTTTCACTTCCATAACTTTACATTTTCTTGGCTGATGATGGGCTTATATAAGCCCGAAACATGTTCCCTTATATGATCTATGATCATTAAATAAAAGTTGTGGAGATGACTTTGGGTTTTCATCTATGAACTACACCACTCCACTTTGAGTTACCATGGACTTCTTCCAAAGATTAATATCAAATATCAGGACGCCACTGGACAGAATGACAGATCAATTATTACCGACTTCGCGACTTCAAAATATATCTTTCATTATCACAAACACAAAGCTCCTAGAGAATCAAATCTTGGATTTTACCTATATTGATAACAAAACCCTCTTTCAAAACTATAACCATCCAGTAAAGCAAAAGTCAAGAGATTTCTGGCATTATTCCCAGGAATCCTGATTCAATATTGGTAAGTATTTGGCTTGGTAAAACTGCATTTATCATGAGATGGTTTTTTTTTTTCGAAAATGTTTTTGGTACCTACGTATTTTTGTCTAAAAAACACGAATTTGATAATAAAAATGTGAACAAACCACTATTTATCAAGATATTTCATGAAAAAGTTCGAAATCTCGCCATCTTTTTCCCCGTGTTGGATGCATTTACAGCATCTTGCTCTTCTTATTTTGTCATTGGACACTTTATATACTCATGATGTACAGGGTGATTCACCATAAATGTCCCCCCCTCTAGCTCAGTTATTTTTGAACCGATTTTGAAATTTGAAATATCATCTTGAATGATTTTCGATAAAGTTTTTTCCGCTAGATCAGAAAATACAGGGTGCTCGGAACAAACGATCTACAGGGTACTATTTGATTTTTTTTAAATGAAACACCCTATTTTTCATTGTATTTTTAGATTCTTCCTGAAGAGCTGATTTGATCAATGCATCACACTTGGGGTCTAGCGGGACTGATAACAGAGATATAGGGTGTTCAAAATCGAGATTTTTAACTTTAGATTTTTTTGTGACGAAACTATTCATTATCGGTCACGCGATTTTCATGTCCGTATCTCAACTTTTGATTTACTATCTACTGACATTTAATAATTGGAAGAGATACAGGGTTACCAGAATTCTGAATCTTGAACCACCCTGTAAATGTTCCAATTAAATTTCACTAGATAGTAAATCAAAAGTTGAGACGGGAACATAGGAGCCATTTTGACCAATAATGAATAGTTTCGGCACAAAAAAATCCTAAAGTTAGAAAATCTCGATTTTAAACACCCTATATCTCTGTAATCATTCCCGCTAAACCCCAAGTGTGATACATTGATAAAATCAGCTCTTCAGGAAGAATCTAAAAATACAATAAAATACAGGGTGTTCCATTTTAAAAAATCAATTAGTACTCTGTAGATCGTTTGTTCTGAGCACCCTGTATTTTCTGATGCAACGGGAAAAAAATTTCTGAAAAATCATTTTAGAATATGTTTCAAACTTTTAAAACTGTTCAAAAATAAGTGAGCTAGAGGGGGGGACATTTATGGTGAATCATCCTGTACTTCAACAACAAATTTTTATATAGCAAATTCAACGAGAAATGTGATCTTTATGGCGAGTTTTTCATATTTAGTGAATTCGTGTTTTTCAGCCAAAAATACGTCAGTACAAAAAATATTTTAGAAAAAAAAAACCATCACATGATAAGTGCAGTTTTACCATTTCCATAGATTAAATGTTTAATCTATGCCATTTCTCTTATTTAGGTTTATTTTATGCTAGTGCATCTCTGGCTCTGCCATATCCATGCCATCTACTTCATTATTCTCTGGAATATACAGAGAAGTGTACATTGATAAAACCATAAAACTAACTTCTGATTTTTAGACGAGACACCCTGTATTTTATGGAAATTTTCATATACTCAATTGGTGTGACTTTGCAAATCAAAAATTCTTTCCCTGTCACACTGATTGAGCATATGGAAGGCGAATATCTTCATAATCCTTTGAAATAACCCTATCAAACCTGGTGGTATCTTTGAATTTGTTAGCTGGAGTTGTTTCCAGTGAAACCAGAAGTGAAAGAACAAACATTGTTTTGTCAATTTGGTACACTTGCCACCCAACAATTTTCAAAATAAGATCTGGAATGATGATGTTTTTTGTATACTTCTGGATATTATAGGATGCCCCAATTGTCAGCAATAGCAGTACAGTATTGTTTTGGCCTACCAAGCTCTCTGACTAATGAAACAAACGTTTTGTAATTTACATTTCCTAGGATAGGCTCAGAAAAAAATAAAATGAATAAGAACTTATAGATTGTTGATAACATTGAATCAATGTTTACTCACCAGGAATTTATTTCTTTCATATTGTTATCCATGTTATTCATTTCTGTTATGTTGTTTAATGAATTTTTATTTGTTATATCAGCAGTTTGGGAAGTTGAGGGAGTATTAGTACTAAAAATAAGAAAATATGATAAATGCCACATTAATACAATAATAACATTGTTATTGAAATCAGTTCAAAGTGAAAACATGTCAGGTAAACTCTATTAGGGTCAATTTTATGGCTTGCTGTTGAATTTTTGAGTTATCTCAAAATGGTTATCATAGGAGTTGACTCTAACTGTGAAATCTGTTTATCTGATAGGTCCATGTCATCCTGAAGTCAGCAGATGTCAATTAGGTAATAAAATTTGTATTATTAGTATATCTTCATTGTGATTTTATTGGTGAAGGGAAGAGGAATCTGAATACCCTGTTTTGACATTTCATCAAAATTGTAAACAAAAATGGAATGAAAGAATTACATCACAATATAATATGAAGACAATGCTCAAAATATCAAATCTTCAAGTTATCTGGCAAATTGATCCACCCAGTAACTTGACATAATACAATTTTAAACTAACATCCACCTATTAAACACCTCCATAAAAGAATGGTCAAGTCACTGTTGAGTTAAGTGCAATCTATAGAAGGAGCCCTGAGTAGGATTCCAGAAGGGCAAGTACATAAACTATTCTGATGGAGTATAAGAAATATGTACTATGTACTTACTTCATGGAGCCTCTAGTAGTTCGAGCAGACCTATCAACACTATTTCTTGATGAATTAGGTATTTCATTGATGTTTTCATGGCGATAATGACAGTTTTGTTGATGAATGCAATTACCTCTTAGGTAAAAACGACAAATTCTTTGGTTAGTGCGAAGCCTACCAAGGAAAAAATCATGACCAAGAACATGTTCAATCTTTTCAACTTCAAATCGAGCTCTATGTGGATATGAGCATTGATCTCCAAGAGGACAATCTCTAGTATCAAAATAACTACAACAAAAGATAGTTTTAGTGGTCAAGAATATTGTCATGTCTATAAAGATACTTATAATAAATGATGAACTTCAGCTGATTACTCCACAGAATAATGTCAAAATCACCATATAATTCTAATGTTGTTCAAAGCAATGACAAACAATAATAATAAAGGGTGGGTATTGAGGTTGTATTAACAAACCACTCCAGATGAAAATGTAGCTGAACAGTGAATTGTTTCCAGTAGTGACCAAATTTAAAAGAAAACAGGTTGATCCCATGACAGCCTACTCAACTTTCAATGAGGATAATTCATGCACTCTGAACAACTAGATGAAATTGGGAGCTATCAGAGTTGTTATCCATAATAAATTTGTTTCAAATACTTACTGGATGCAATATCTTTGAAGAAGATTTCTTGCAACGTCCGCCATGTTGACAGACATTTATTATGACTCGATTTGTCCAAGAGTTCAAAGAAGAAAACTTATGACATTTCACAAGAGATTTTGTGAAATTAGATTCTCAAATCTCACTAGAAGCACCTCTAGGAGACAATAGTCTCGGAGCTCGGAGATGAAAGATGAATGAGGTCCAATGTTTGATGTTTGTCAACAAAAAACCAACTACTCAATACTCGCCACTTTCTTTTTGATGTTTCATGCACCTGAGCACTGAGGTGTGTCACGGTGAAGCACCGGGGCTACAAACACTAACAAATATATAAGCCACTTTCTATTTGACGGTGCAGGTAGCACTGGAGCTACTCCGAGCATGAAAAATAGGCAGTAACCTTCGATCATCAACTCGTTGTTCGGAGGCAGTAAGGCATTCATTTTGTTAGTGCTGGAAGCCCCGGTGCATCATCGTGCTGCACCGCTACACCATCTACCTTTCCCTGCCCCTCTGTCACTGTCAAATGACAAGCTATTTCTGATTATTTTCAAAAGGTCTCATGAAGGTGAGGCCTCCATCATTCCTTGCTCGCACAAGTCTCTTGAAGACTTCTGACGGTTGCTCGCAAGGGGGCAACCGAATGACGGATAGAACAATTTTAGAACAAAAGTTTATTAGTATCTGTTAATTATAAAAAAATCATATGGCGCTTTTACGCTTTCGTAAAAACCTGTAATAACCGGTGTCAGTTCCTGTATGATCTGAGGTTGCACCACCAATCGAAATGCAGGTGCAGGTCAAATCAATTCTAACCTTAATCGCCTTAATTATGCCAGTAAATATATCGGAGACTGGAATCTTTGGAAATATTATACACTACACTTTTTTACCACTAACCACACGTGTCGAGGCGTATGAAAAATCGGTTTGTTAGTGGAAAACAGTGCAATACCTGTAAATCTATGTGATAATCTGTAAGTGCCTGTAATGCAATAAGCCCTCTCTTTTCATGCCAAGCACACGAACTACGCCAGGCTTGAGGTGCTGCTCTCAAATAGAACGGCTTTCAGTAAACATTTTATTAATAATGCGTACCGCATGCGCCTTCATGTAGTTTTGATTGAATTTTTGTTTGAATAAGTCAAAAAGTCAGTAGTATATTGTTCCTTATGGTTGTTTGAAAATTATCAAAATCATTCTTCAGACTGGGTATCTCATTCTGGAACTGAAATGTTGTTGATGGTGATATAATTGAGTAAAAAAAGTTGAGTGAACATTGTATTGAATTGACTATTGGATGTATCCTCCAGGAATTATTTGGCCCAGGCAATCATTCCAGCATGTCAGAATCAACCAGTTCTTTAGCTTCAGACAGTATTTTCTCGAATTTTTCAGATGATGATGATGAACCCAGAAGAAAACATGTCAAGATCGAAAATTATGTGGACATTATATTATCAATATAATTTCTTAGTATTTTCGTCCATTTTCAAAGATTTTAATATCCCACCGAAAGTGCCTGTTGCACTCATGTGACCCACAGAACTTAACTGCATCATGTACGATTGATGCAAGAGTGCACAGGGGAAGGTAAGCGGTGTTGCACCAGAGCCAAACCCGTGCGTAAAAAGAGCGGCTAACCTTCGTGGATTGGAGCCCGGGATCAGCTCTGGTGTAACTCCAGCCGTCAAAAAGAAAGCCACCGATGCATTAAGAATATAATTGAGTTCTATGCGAGTCTTCAGTAATGGGTTATGTTCCGATATTGCTGACATTACTGGCCACAGTAAGTAAGGAACACTTTTAACAGTTAAGTATCTTTGAATTCTCATAACATTTCGGAACCATTTTGGACGTAATATGGCAGTACTGCTACACTGGCAGCAAGACATAACCACAGATTAACAAACCTGACATAACCAAACCGACATATGATCTTTCGATTTTCGATGTTTTGTTGGTTTCAATTTTCATTCTTATTATTGTCTTCTTTACTTACTTACTTTTACTTGATATTATGGATGGACTGATTATTCGTATTATCTCAGAACACATATTATTATCTGATAGTGATTCTGATTCATCAGAAACACCAAGCTCTAATACCTTTAGTTCCAGTGATGAAGAATGAAGTATAGATGTGAAATATCAAAAGTGGGAATAACAAACCATCTTGTAGATTAGTGGCAGTTTCAGCGTCTACTGCCAATGTGAAATCTTCCAATTCGAATTCATACAATGTCCCAAAGTAATTCAAAATAAAAAATATATAATTTTTATTGACGCATCCCTACCCATTCAAACGCTCAACCTAACATTTTATGAATACTGGCGCTACATCACCATTTCTGCACCAGTGGCAAACAGTGAACTTTTAGCCTCTACTATCAGAGTTCCTTGCAATGACCCGCGAAAACGTTGCCAGTAAAAATTTCAGTAAAATCGGAACGATAAAATACTGGGCAGAACTACTATTTCGGAATATCGGAACAAGCTCATATTATATCATATATATTCAATTTGTGTCCCATGACTCCCATGAGTCCCATGTCATCCCTTAACAAAAAATTAAAATAAAAGGTGAGGTGATTTTTCAAAATCTTTTGATTTTAATATTAATTCGATATTTCTATTTTTGAATATAAGTCATGGCAGAACAATTAGTGATTAGTCCTCTCCTTCCCAAAATACTTCAACATGTTCATATTTTCACCATTGCCATAGGTACTTACTTATTATTTTTTGTAATGTATTTTTAGGAACTGATCAATGTATGTGATATGCCTTTAGTGAAAACTTCTAAATCAGCCAAAGAGAAAACTAATAAGGATATAGTCACTATGGGCGATTTTGGAAAAGAAGCAAAATCTTACCTACAAAGAATACTGGGAGACATTAGTAAAACCTCAGCTTCAAAACAAATAGTGTTAGGAGCATCTTCTGGATGGTAAGTATTACAGGTACTTCCTTTGTTTCTGTTCTGCAGTTTCATCATTTTCAGGGTAACAGGATTCTTAGCAATGAGAGTTGGGAAAACAGCTGCTCTTGCATTAGGGGGAGGAATTATTTTACTTCAAGTCGCCAATGAAAAGGGATACATCAAAATAAATTGGGATAAAGTCAATAAGAATTTGGACAAAGTCACAGATAAAGTAGAGGAGAAAATTACTGGCCAAGGACCTACATGGATGGATAAGGTAACTGTGTCTTTTTATAGATATTCCACTCCAATTTTCCTTCTATTCATCTTATAACATGAAATTGGTAACCTACTGTGTTAATTTCTGATTTGAGAAAGAACAAAGTCAGATTTGAATATCAGTTAAATTTTTCTTAAAATCATATTATTTGTCAAGTTTTCTAATTAATTCAGAAGTTAATTCAGAGAGATTACTGTTTTGTCACTATCAACTGTTTTTTTTTGTCAAAATATTATAGTGAAATTAATTTTAGGTACAACTGTTTGCTAGAAATAATACCCCTTTCACTTCTGGCTTTGTTGGTGGCTTTTTGATTGGCTTAGCATCTCACTGAAGGAAGAAAATGAGAATTCTTTCATTGAAGTAATAAAAATGCCTAGGTTTCAGTGTATTTTTATACTTCTAGAATATGTGTTATGATAATCTCAATAAATGTATTTTGATATTCATAGATATTTCTTTCTTTTTTTTTCACAGGCAGAGAAATATGTTGATAGAAAACTTAATCAAGCAGAAGATAATATCAAGAAAGGTCACACCAAAGCTAAGAAATGGTATTCAGGCATTATGGGAGATGAATGTCAACTGAAAGAAGTTCATATTTTCATCATATCCTTTGTTGCTGGGGTAGCAATTGGCATTGGGACTTCATAAATTGATTTTAGAATAAACCAAAATCTAATGTAGAAAACCTTAATCATAATGTTGTGCTTATAATTTGTAGGTGACTCCAATCTTAGCTTCTGATCCTCAAAAATGGTTAATATTCTCACTCCTATCTTCAGTATTTTGTAATTATTTAAAAATTTAGTACTTAGTGATTTTTTGTATGTAAGTATAGAAGCGAATTCTTGGAGCAATATCTCATACTATACCTACTGATGGTATTAGTGATGTTGAAGTAAACTATTGATTGTTCCAAATCTTTTATAATCAGTAGGTATTGAATTATATTATTGATACTGGTTTATTAATTTATTTCATTTCAAGCCTCTGGACCTTTTAAATCGCCAAATGTTATAATAAGGGTCAAACAATTTTATATTTTTAATAAACATATACATACAGGCATCTCGCGCTCGCGCCTGTAGATAACAGCTCACAAGCTGAAGCCTGCAGCCAATGAACTCAATATAAACACCTGGAAGGGACCCTCTGTGAATGATGAGTGAGGCAAAAATATTGTTCAGGACACTTCAGCTCTTTAGCACAGTCAGAAGGTCCTCTGTAACAGTAGTAACAGAGTGTAGCAACACTGCAGTCAGTGCATTCGAACGCGTACTAGTACTAGTAGGGGCGTGTTTTTCATTCCATCGAAGAAAGTGCGCACTGATAGATGCGGTTTTTTGTCGTGACGTCACCAATTGTTCTGTTGGAATTTATGCTGGAAGGATTGAACAATGGTTTATACAACACATTGATGGAAACACGGATTTTGTTGTGTGTCAGTCATCATGTATCTTGAGAATCAGAAAAGGCTAATTCGACTTTATTGATTGACACTGACTCTTTCTTCTAAAATCTCTCAAGAATCTCAAAAATCCTCAATATTAATTGTTTTCTATCAAATCAAAACAAAAAACAACACTAAAATGTGTCAACTGTCATGTCAATCTCCTCCAAACTGCTGGATTCTCGAAATGCGATTTAAAAGTGCGCATTTTATTACAACAGTTTGATGGATGTCCATCAACATTCCAGCGGAATTTTGCAACAGTTTGATGGTTTCTTCGATTCATGCGCATGATAAAATGTTGGAATGAAAAACGCACCCTAGTACTACAGGAGTCCTCAAGGAATCCTCAGATAAGGAAGACTTGAGGAGTTCTTGAGGAAACGACTATAAATACGGACCCTAGAGAACTTTACTATCTCTCGTTCAAGGTAGAGAAGAGCTCTTTATGAGATTGAGATGTGCCTAAATCTTCGAACCATTCCCATCACGCGATATGTTGAGATTCGTGTTTTTTTATGATTATTTTTCGCAATTAAATTGTGGAGGATGAGTTTGGTCAGGGAAGTTCCATTCTTCTACTTATAGCATGGCGTCAGCCCACTTTTATCATTTGTGTAGTGATTTAAGCTTTCAAGGATGTTTCTCCTGTCGAGACTCCGAAGTCCGAGGATCTCGTTACTTTTTCTAGTTTTTCTACGAGCGAATGCGCATAATGTATCACGTGATTCAATGTGACCCAAGTGACAAGTGGTTTGGGAATGGTTCGAAAACTTTAGGCTCCCGTTTTGTGAGGACGACAAAAATGAAAATGTCACTCTCGTGAAAAGATAATATTCTGTGACTTTGTGGATGAATGTGATATGTTCCATGATCCGTGAGGGAGGCCGTGATTCCGTGAACTGTGAGTGAGTTCTGTCTTCTGTGTTCTGGTACTTCTGGTTCTGAGTTGTGAGTTTATGCCCGGTTTAAGCATGGCGGCAAGGGTATATTTGTTATGTGACTTTTTGTGATGATAATATGTTAACTCTTGATGATAAGAATTCCATACTTGGAAAATTATGTAGTAGAAGCATAATCTTAAACCGTGAGTATAAAGATGTGAGTGGCGTTATCCACAGAACTCCAATCGTCCGATAAACAAAAGACCAAGACGGTTCCATGATATCCAAGCTATGGCGTCGCACGACAGTCACAACAAGAGAACTAACGAGGAGGAAAATGAAGTTTTTTATCGAAAAGAATCATCTTACGACTCATTACCAAACAGTTCTACGTGCCCTTTATGTTTGTCAACATATACCACGTGCACTTGTAATGTGACTAGTAATACATTTGGAGATAGCATCTTCAACAGCACAGACGGTAAGATATTATATTTGTAAACAAAACGAAATAACTAGTCAACATTTTTTGAATACTCAAAAATCATTGTTTATTTCAGGTACTTCAACAGATGGTAATTTTGAACATGTAAAAAATTGCCATAACACTCCTATGTATGATGAGAAGACACTGGAAGAGTTGGAGAGGATGTGCAAATCCAGCAATAATTTCTTCTTGGACATCCAGAAATCAACTCCAGAATATGACTCCAAATCATTTACTCCCAATGAATCCATGAAATCTGAGATGAAAACAAACTTCAATGGTGATAAGTTAAACATTCTATCAAATTCTAAGGAACCAGTTAAAGAAAGTGATGGTGAAACTAAATTAGAGTGTATTGAAAGGACAGGTGATAATTGTGATGATAAAAATGCTAACTTTGGTGATGCACAGCATAATATGAATGAACCTGACCCTAACATTGCTCCACACCCTGGTTACACTTCTGAATGTTCACAAACTCCTGCAGATAACAATTTATCAACTTGTCCTTCTAAATCTGGCTGTGATTCTACTTGCAATATAGGTGCTGTGAAGAGTCAAATTGATAGTCCTAGTGATTTTGAAAACCAAAAGTTATCACCAGACTGTGGTCTCCAGAATATTAATAATAACAGTATAATAACACCCAGTCTTGAAACATTCTCCACTAATGTAAATGATACTAAAAAGCAGAAGATTTGTTCTCATTTAGTGGAGCAGTTGGATTATAATCTACTGAAAGGTAAAAAAGGCATTGAGCTATTGACAGCCATTGAGGAACAATCCAATGTCAAGTTGAGATATCTAGAACAACATACATCTAGCTCTACAGAATCAGGCACAGCTAGTTCTAAGGAAAAAGTGTGTTCTCCAAGAAAAGGTAGAACTAGATCAGTGGATGTGGTGGCAAATACATCTAAGGGAGTAAAAAGAGCCCATTCTGCAGACACAAGTGATGCAGAAGCTAAGATTCCAAAAATTGACTTCAAATTATATAAAAAAGATAAAAAACCTATATTGACATCATCTTCTTCCTCCAATAAAAGTCATAAGCATAAAGATGATAGAAGGCACAGACATGATTCAAAAAGTAAAAATGATAGTAAGAGTAATTCAAAGAAATCATCACATTCTAGCAGCTCCTCCAAAGACAGACATTCATACCGAAGTGATGCTAAACCAAGGCTTTTGACCAATGGAAATTATAGTTACCCACCTGAAAATGTGAGTACTAATATGTCATTTGGTCTGGATGGATCTCCAATGGTGATAGAATGTGTGCAAAAACTAAGGGTGGAAATTCAATTTTTGTGTCTGCTTTGGTCAGATATTTTCAGAGAATTGCATGAAATAAGACCTATTTCCTACCCTAATTCACCCTTGAGCCTTGGTTGTGACCTTGGCCCTAAGGGATACTTTCCTACCCACTGATTACAAGATTCTGACTATTTTCTGTACCAAGGGAAGTGTTATTCATGACAAACTTGAATCATAGAATATATGATCACATATGAAATAATTAATGCTCTTCTTCTAAAAGCTGACCATTGAATGATTCTCCACATTTATAGTACCAATTAATTATTGAATAATAATTATATTTGGGTCATGAATAATTTTAATCTTATTCTTCAAAAATGTGATCAATTCATCTTAAAATTTAATGGAAATGAGGTGTCTATTGGTGAATTTGAGAACTATGCATTTTTAAGGAATAGAATTATTTGATAATTTTTATTGTTTCAGAAATCATTTAAGTACCGAAAGTATTTTCACATAGAAACTCATACTAATGGGGGTGCAAAAATCCTAAGAATGTATAATGATGAAATAAAGCACTTGAGTTCAAATGAAGTGAAAGATCTTGCCAAAGAATTTTTCAAGCTTGCTTTCCATGAAGACAAAGAAGGTCATGCTACATTTGTATTAGCAGTTGTGCATGGTTCTGCTTCTTACTTGCCAGATATCCTAACATATATGGCCGATAATTATCCTAACCTAACAGTTAAGAATGGTTTGCTGAGTAAGAGTTCTGATATAGAAACCACAACCATGGCAGCTTACAATGAGAATGTCTGCAAAACTTATGAAGCTGGTACTGTGAGGTATGGGCCTTTACATCAGATAAGCATAGTAGGGACTGCTCATGAAGAAGTGGGTGGCTTCTTTCCTGATATATTAGAGATGCTTGAGGAGAGTCCTTTTCTGCATTTGGTGAGTTTTATTTAATATTCTATAATTGTTTCAAACAACCACTGATTCAAATACTAGGAAGATAAATCCAACATATGATTTACTTTGGCAATTACTTGCTTGCAATAGCCTATCTAATCATGAGGCTAATAATTTTTGAATTAAATGGGGCTACTATTCCTCCAATGATGTAAAATCTGGCAGATAAGGAAAAATAGGTAAATTCCATTAGTGCTGCATACATGACAACTTTTTTTCAACTTTATTCTGGTAAGGAAAATCTAAATTTCTTAGCAGCACTGCATGTGTCATGAAAATATTGTAGATATTCAAGTAATCTTCAAGAAATTTCTCATTAGTCAATTATTGCTTCAACATTTCAATGTCTGTGTATTGCCATATTGTTTTGATTTGACTAGAAAACCCAAAAAAGCGAAAAACAATCAAAATCTCCAGGCCTATGTTTGTCAGGCTTATCATAACACTCCAATTGGTATTGGTAAGTGGATGGTGACAGATGCACTGTGACCTGATTAGATCTATTGTGCCCCATCTTCCTCTGCTATCTCAAGGTTTTCTTTTTTAAAGCAGCCCCTCAAGCTTCAATTCTTTTAGGAATCTGAGGATTTTGAGGGGATCTGTTTGTGGCATTTCTTCCACAGTCAGCTGGTATGCTCCCAGTATGTTACTCTCCAAGTGTTGAGTATATATTGCAGTATACTCAAGATACACAGGATGTTTGTATATGTCATGTCCATACAGAAGAAGAAAGTTCATTGGCTGTTTACATTACTGAAAGTTCATGTAAACATGTGTCCCACTTGTTTGACATAAGGGATGTTGAAATTGTTTATATGAATGTTGATTAATTTTTTATGTTCACCCAGGATACTCTTATCATGGCAAAAATTCAGTGTGATGTTCAGTAAATGAAAAATTCTAGAATTTACAAATTTGCACTCATTTTTATAATCAAGGAATCTCAATAGCTGACTTGAGTGCACCTGCATTAAAATTTGTTATCATGTGTAGAATATTAGGAGACCACATTGGCTCATAAATAAATGAGAATCCAAATTATAATATCTATTTCAAAAGAAATCCCACATGAACGCCACTGATTGAAATGCAAATCAGAAAATGCCACTCAATGCTTGGAAAGTACATAGGTATCAAATTTCACGAAAATAACAAATAAATGAAGGATGGCTTTTATCTTTAATCTTTACCACTCAGCATTTAGGACATTTAGGAACATAAGTTATTTTCCATTGTAATATTATTGTTGTCATATGTCAATTGATGGGCTCAGTAACTCAGTAATGCATATGATTGTAGCATATGATTTAATGTAATTAATGAACTGTAAAAGAAGTATCTATAATAAACATTGATTAATATTGTTTTACAAATTACACAATCATAAGAAGTATCTATAATAAACATTGATTAATATTGTTTTACAAATTACACAATCATGTAAACGTCAATTTTTTGATCTATGATCCCGAGTTCGGCTAGCCGAGGAAGATTTGGGTTAATTTTCGTTACCGGTGAATGGTGATATATAGTTTATGTAATAAGAATAAAGAATTTCAAAAAAATTGAAGCAGTAGTATTTTTATTATATTGAATCAACCCATTGTTGTTAGACTATGCCTTGGGGGGCACTATCTATATGTGACCAAATGAGGCCAAGTGAAAGCAACGATGGACCTATAATTTGGTGCAGACCTGGGGAACAACTGGTCCCCACTGCTGATCTGAAAACTCCACTCAAAAGAAAACGGTAACAATTTATATCACAACCTTCCAAGTAGTTTCTCGATTATTTGGAACTTTCATTCTAGAACTGGCATCAATGAGCTGAGGAATCTCCAGTATCTGCCAAGAATGTCAGAGGCTAGGGAGCATTTATTTGAAGACAGAACTAAGGCTCACGCTGATCACGTTGGGGCTGGTCTCGATAGAAAGACCACCGCTGCTGTGGGTATATTGAAAGCCATACATGGGGGAAGGAATGAGGGACCGATCAATAGGATAACAAAAGATGTAGTAGCATTTTCTGCTAAGCACTTTGATGTTTTAGCAGAGAAACTACAGTTGGATCTACATGAACCTCCTATCTCACAGGTATAAAAGTATTTTGATGTATTCAACTTTTCAATCAATTTTTTTTTCTTAGTGTGTCCAATGGATAGAAGATGCTAAACTAAACCAACTGAGACGGGACGGTATTGAGTATGCAAGAGTTAGTCTATATGACAATGACATCTATTTTTTACCAAGGAATATTATTCATCAATTTCGTACTGTGACTGGTGTTACCAGTATTGGTGAGTACTTTGAATATTTATCATTTAGGATATTCTACTATCTATGTGAAATAAATCATGATTGTTCTTCAATTTAAAGTAACATCAATTAAAAATGATATTTGCTTCTTTTGCTTTTGCCATAGCTTGTTTCTTTCTCAAATGCCATGCCATGCTTCTCCAAGAGCAGTAAACCATTACTTACATTGATACCTAGTTGATCATTTGAATATAAGATGTGTCGTGAGAACCAAACTCATGAAAGGAAAATTTTACCTAATTTTAAAGATTTGAGTGTAATTCCTGCAGTGAATCCAAAGGTATTTATTTCTAATACCTACTCCTGTTTTCAGCCTGGCATGTTAGATTGAGGCAATATTACAATTTTGAGGAAACTAACTCACAAGACAAGAAAACCGCTCACTCTAGTAAAACTTCAGAGAAAACTCCTATTAAACCACACCAAAAGACACCTCTCAAGTCTTCTAATTATAATGAGGATAAACCTCCATTAAAAATGAAATTCAAACTGGACTTTGGCAAATATGTTGCACCAGAAAATATAAAAGTTGAGCAGGATAAATATAAATATCCTGAAAAGGATCATGCTGAAGATAGGGATAAAAGTAAATCAAAACATAAAGAAAAACATAGAGAGAGATCGAGAAGTGATAAAGATCGTCATAGCCACCATCACAAAGACAAGCACAGAGATAAAGATAAGGACAAAGAAAAAAGCAGACATCACAACTCCCATAGACATTACAGAGACAGGAACAAAGACGGTGATAAAAAACAAAGTATTGCACACAAAGATAAACACCGTCATAGTACCAAGTTGAACATTTCGAGTACCGATAGCGGCACTACGAAGTCTTCTGGTAGCAACAGCACTTCTACAATGCCTTTGTCAGTTCATTCATCATCTGAAATCACTACATCGTCTGTTGGCACAATAGAATCACCTTCTAAAAGTGTAGTGAGTGATACGGTGAACACGTCTCCTATTAAACAGCCGTCGGAAGTGAGTCCTGTTAAAAAACATAGACCTCTTAAGATCAAAATACAGAAAGTGCAGAAACCACAATCAACAGATTTCCTTGGCGATATCCTGAAGGATATGAATAAATGTGATCCACACATTTAATATTAGGCAACAGATCGAGTTGGAAGTGATAGATGAATATTTCTGATAATCCAGCTATCACTTCTTGTTCGAACTGTTGAGATGCCTGTTCTACTTTGTACATATTATGCTAGATGTCTGTTGATTTTGGTATATAATTCGATCAAGGTTTAGTGCATTGAGTGTCCCATCCGAATTTCTCTAGTAATTTCAGGGAGACATTTTTATGAACAAAGATAGGTTGGCTCAAGGGGCAGTAAAAGAACTGTGGTACCTTTAGCTATTCCAAACACACATCACAAAATTATTGATAAATATTTGAATACGTTTTCCAGCCTGAGTTGCCATCTTCAGGAGACCTGAAAAGTGAATTTACGTGACCTATATTTTCCTGGATATTCTTTAACAACCACCATCAAGAGACTCAAGAGTGCAATACAAAAAATGCACACTTCTTGTCAATAAACGTACAACTTCAACAATATATTGTGATAACTTCCAGAAAATTCAAATAAAGTCCTAATAATTTTCTTATTGTATCTGAATGAAATAATCCTGTCAATATTTGACAACTTTTCGATGATAGTCGTTTTGTTTTTAGATTGCTTGTTTGTGTAAGTATGTGTATATAAATCATTGGAATGATTAAGGGAAGAAACATCCAATAGTTGCATTCTGATGCTAGTCAATGGTTAAACTTTCTTTACCACTATTTAGTGAGATTGCATCCTTTGTTATTTTTTTAAGTACATCACCTAGTTGCAAGTAAGGAAAACGAGGTATGAGACATTTATTTTCAAAGTGAACTCATTTTGAGCGATGCTTAAAACATAGATCTATGCTTGAAATAAACTGGATTGGTTAGCGATATTATGCCCATAGATGGCGTTTGGGTTAATCTTTCTACTTTTCGTTATTCCCAAATATTTGAACAGCATGTCCACATGGTGGGCATAATAAAAGGGAGTATCTTGCACATGATCAGAGTATACTAATGCGTTGATGGAATGTGATTGGTTAGTAATAATTTTGATAAGTATCTCTGGAATGAAGTGAGAAATTTTGATGGGAGAGACAATATGTTTAATAATAATAGTCCATTATCAATTATGTCTGATGACCTAATCATAAGCTCAAAACAATCTGATTGTAGTGATAATGGCCTGTTGAATATACAGGTGCCAATATGCAAAATGTAATGAAAACATTGATTGAAACCAATTGTTGAGGAGGAACAAACCTTGTCTTGGATCCAAGATTTCATTCATATAAGTAATCTAGTTACTGATTATTATTCAATTTATCAACACAGAAATGTTGGTACTTAGCAACAATGCGAAGTTCTTGGTCATTGTGACTTCTCCCTGTGGAGACATTTCATGATACTGAAGTGCAGAGTCCTCGTTTCAAATTATATTCCAGAAAAACAGTCAGTGATGTCCCAGTATGTTGAACTTCAACAATTGTTTCGATCGTGAATTATGGCAGCCTACTCTTTTTGAAAATACTACCATTGACTATACAGAGGGTGCTACTAATATTCAAAAGTTAGTTTGACAACAAAGAATAATTAATAATTTCGAAACCCCGCCTTGAGATATTCCAGTGATATTCTTAAGGTAGTGACATTAAATGAAGGAGTATGTTTTTCAATACAAGCATGATTTTTAACTTCGAGAGTGGCAAGCGTTTTTATCGTTCTAATTTATTCCCTGTGAATATCTAATTTTTAAAATTTAGTTTGAAACTCGTTTGTTACGAAATATTTTGGTTCATGGTTTAGACAGCCAACTATCATTCATTTTCTATGTAGAATCGAGCCCTTGAGTAGTCGCATATCTTCAAGACCTGTATAACGACTAGACTATCTCACAAATTCTTGATTAGTACTAGTACGCCTTAGAGGTGACTAGTTCTGAAAAAATATCATTCGGGCAAAAGCCAGGACATTTTTGCCATTTGCAATGGAGTAGCGGGGAGTATAAGGTTGTAGTGGGCGGAGTTACTTGCAGTGTATAAAGACTATACAGGGTGTACCAAAATTGCTGGGACACAGAGCTACCACGTGTAATACAGTTCAAAATAAGTCGATTGCACCCAACTTATTTGTACAAAAAAATATACCGTTTGTCCGTGCGACGAGTTCAAATTATATAAAAAAACACATTTTTGTATGCTGTTCAAAAATGAGCAAACAATTTGGATGAAATATGAGAAAAGTGCATTTTTGAGGATAACCCTCCTTTCAGTGACCAAAGAAACCCGAAAGAAATTGAAAAAGGGTTGAAACCACCCTCACCCCCTGAATTTTTCAGGGGTGGTGATAAGGTTCTAAAATTTCTTAAGCGAAATGACTGATTGATTATCATAATTTTGTTACTCTTGTGAAAATTTCGTATTCCGCATAGTTCCGAAGGAAAAAAACAGATATTCCTATCAAGAGTTTAATATCATTATAATAAAAAATTTAGTTGACAGTGGAAACAGAGGCAGAAAATTTTTTTTAGATGAGTTCAATATGACGCCCACCTTCATCAACAATTCCTTTGTTTCCACTGACAACTAATTTTGTATTACAATGTTATCAAACTTATACTAGGAATATTTGTTAGCATTATTCAAGAAAACTTCTTTCCTTCGGAACAATACGGAATACGAAATTTTCACAGGAGTAACAAATTTAATCCCCCTTCAGAATGTTCTGAAGAAAATTTCAGGGGGTAAGGGTGGTTTTAACCCTTCCACAGTTTCTTTCGGGTTTCTTCGATTAATGAAAGAAGGGTTATCTCCTAAAATGCACTTTAGTCAAATTTCATCCAATTTGTTTTACTCATTTTTGAACAGCGTACGAAAATGTGTTTTTTTGTGTTTACTTTGAACTCGTCTAACAGACGAATAGTACATTTATAAATAAGTTGGGTCCAATCAACTTATTTTCAACTGTATTACATGTGGTAGCTCTTTGTCCCAGCAATTTTGGGACACCCTGTATAATAATGACATACATTGGAAATTAATTGAAGTTTCATTTGATTAATGAATGCACTCCATTGATCCAAAATATAAATACACATCAAAATCTAAATGATTGTGCAGCTTCATGTTCAACTTTTAATATATCGAAAAATAATGACTTTATCGCTATGAAGAATGAGTACGATATTTACGTAAAAAGTATTGGATAATTGTGATAAAATGGTAATCCCGCCAGTTGCGTAGAATTTGGGATGGATCAACCAGTCACTTGCCCCTTTCGTACGCCTCTGGTAGTAGGCAGAAACGTTTATTTGATATAATTTAGTAGGGTGTATAGTATCTACACTTCCCGCAAAGTATGACAATGATATGTCGATTAGTTTCAAAGTACTGGACACAAATGATTATAACATTTTCAAATGAAACACCCTGTAACTCTAGCACATTTTATCTAGATTTAGGTTAAATCTTCATATTTTGAGCTCAGGATGCTATAATTGAAATATGTCCAATTAGTATAATGATATACCCTGTTTAGTCAATGGTACTACTAAGTGTTGACATTTTTTTAGTAATAGTTTTGTCAAAATGTATATTTATATACTATGTAGAATCTCTAGAGAATATATTTAACTAAATATACTATATATATTTATATTTATTGTTTGGAACAGATGTGAACTATGAAGTTTGCTATAAAATTGTACATAAACTTTTATGCAAGAAACATATTTTATTACATTTTACAGTCATGCTTGTATAGTTATAGATATAGTCGTGTGTATTGCCAATTTCAGGTAGGTAGGTACAATATTTTAATGGTTTGTAAAGTTTTCAAAGCATAAAATAATTTGATTTTCTCTTCTGATACAGATGAATAAGTTTACTAGTTATTCTTTCCTTTCTTTGAATAGGTACGGAGTTTTTGCTTTGGAAAGTAAAAATGGATACTTGCAATTTCTCCAAAAACATGCCGAATGAAATGTCATACACTGAGAGTATTTGAATTCGCAATAGAAAATAACACGTCGCCCCACCTGACGGCAAAAACTTGAACACTTCTGAGGGGTTTGTTTTGATGATATGACCAATGAGCACAAACAAAATACAAATGTGAACCAATGAAACCAAAGTAAACATGCCGCTTTGACAGCTTTCAAGAACTCCGATCGGTGGCGTACGCTTATTTTCTATCGCGAATAGTAGATAACTTTCACTGGATGAATCATGAAACCCTATTTTCTAAATTGAAAAACTTCCATTGACATTTACTTCATGAACTGTTGAGCAAGCTTTTAATGAAACATTCATAAACCCACTCCAAATGAAAGAAAGATTACTTGAGAGCATCGATCAAATTATGGATAAACAAATAACATAAATAGAACCATTATTTGTTTAGTTCAATTTATGCTCTTGTATTAAAACGTGAAAGTACAAAGTAAAATCCTTTGAAAATTTCACAGCTGGTATGAATTAAAAAAAAAGGTACTGTAGATTACTTATTATTGAAACTATCAGTGTGAACAATAATCTTAGTGAAATCAGTTAGTTATGGCTTCATTCTAGAGATTGGTTTATAAATGGATCTCAGAATTAGGACAGTTGTGCCCTCACTAATCGAAAAAATCTGTGACTTAGTTTTGCCTATATTATTAATTTTTTAACCAATAACCTTTCGAGAGTACCTAATGATAATATGTGAATATGTACAGGTAGAATGTGTTGTACAGTTTTTTACATAGTCAAAACTTCTATGCGTTGTTGTATACAATAAGCAGACCATATAATTATAACAATGTTGAAAATGTTCGTAGTTATATCAATATTTTTTGAAATCACAATATATATATCCACTTCTTTTTCATGAAGGAAGAAGTGCCACTCTAATAAAAAAAATTCTCGATTTTGAAAAACAAGCATCAGCAGCAAGTATGATGTCAATGGTTATAAGACCAAGAAAATAGTGGATTTGCAATCTGGAGAGATTGAAAATTCACTTGAGTTCACTGAAGTATTGAATACTTTTCGCAATACCGAAGTGTCAATAAAAAAAAATCAACATTTATCCATTTTATTAGAATTACATGAAAAATTCGTTTATTGAAAGAATAACATTATTACATTGAGCAAATTAATTTGTATTCATTAATGTGAAATTAACTATCAGTAGTCAATTTTGTTTTCATAAAAACCTGTTCAAACAATGTCTGCCATAATGAAAGAAAAGCAAGTTCAGTCTTACAAAAGTGGAATTGAAATCGATCTCGATATTGCGAAGAAAATACTTTCATCTGTGGATTGAAACCAAAATTTAAATGTAGATTCATGATTTGGGTTGTCATGGGTCAAAAGCAGAGTGAATTTTAATGATTTTATCCTTCATTGGTCTCCAATTTGTCATCAAAATGGTGACTGTTTCATAGTTTTTGTATTATAATAGCCACATCTTTATGGATATTATATCATTGGGTTACCACCAAACATGTTCTTTACTAAATATCAAACTGGCTCAACATTTTGAGATGACATTGAATAGGGTATCTAGTTGCTCATTGATGTAATGTCTGTAATGCCAACCAGTCCTATGTATATTGTCTCACGGTATTTGTATGATAAATTGTATTTTATTTATTTATTATTTAAACAATATTGTATAATATAAGCGACATCTCTGATAATACAATGCAACAGGTTATTTTCCCAAAAATTGTATTTGAGGATGTCTAGTATTCATATGATGTGATAATTATTTTCAAAATATTTATGATTTTCCTAGATCACAATATTGATAATATTAACAAAGAATAGCTGAGGTCATGGCATTAGATAAACTTAACCATATATAGTTTAATACTGCATCACATTTTTACATTCCACAGTATGAGTAGGTATTTTTAGTTGCTGCAGATTTCATCCTAAATCAATTTTCGAATAGTACCTACTGCTTTTTAATTCTTAACACTTGCTGACCGGAAACTTGAGAAACAGAAACTAGTTGAGTTCTGTAAAAATGTTGATATAAATGTACAATCGCTGATTTTTTTTATGTGGAATTTTTGTTTTATTCCAATAAACCTTCGAATAAATTATAATTTGACCTATTCATTATGCATCACTAGTTCCTTCATCAGTAATGTTTATCGGTAGGTCTTTTGATTATATAGGTACTATCATCCTTGTAAAAACGATGTACCAGTTTTGAATATATACCGGGTGACAGAGACTCATATGGTTTATACCCCGGCCCCTTTTCTCCATTGTTTTCCTAGCTATATTTCTGAAATTTGGAACTTCGAATATGCTTACTAGGGGACACTCACATTTCAGGATTTTTTTATTTCATCCTTGTAATTGGTACTTTGATTATATATATACCAGGAGACACAGACTCATGGTTTTCTCCTTTGTTCTTCTAGCTTTATTTCTGAAATTTGGAATATCGAATACGCTCACTAGAGGGTATTTTCTCACATTTTTGGATTTTTTTTCATCTTCCGGTTCTCCTGGAAATGACATCAACTTTCGATTTCCAAATGGAACACCCTATATTTCATTCCATAATAAGTTGGAGGTTATTTTAACGAATTCAACGATTGGGTTATTTCAAACCATATATATATGTACTTTTTCTATATATATATATATTCATATTTGGTCCGATGGCCATTGAAAATATGACGATATCAGCGCCTTACAGACTTTCTATGTACAAGTCATAACCATGATTTTGTGTCACCCGGTATACAGTGTGGGAACCTATTATGGAATTAAATCCGTGTATTTCCATAGAAATAAATTTTATAGAACTTTTTTAATTCGGTTGGCCATATCCGCTATAAGAGCAGTCGAAAACTTTCAAATATACTGGAATTTCTGTCCAAATTATTGGTAGTGTATGAGATGTCGCGCGTTTAGGTAACAGTGCGATATCACCCCGTGGATATCACAAACGTTCCATCTCTGCGATGATTATAAGCAAAAACATCTGCGACATGACATCTCTAAGATGAGGCAACACACTGCGATATTACGAATTACGAGTGTTCCATCTCTGCGATGTATATATATGTATAGAAACAGACACAGCTGTGACATATAGTGCTCGCCCTGGCTATTTGGTATTATTTAAATAATCAGCAAAACCAAGATAAAACAATCGTAGTCAATAAACGACAAATTTCCGTACAGGTAGGACAATCGTTAGCTACAGAATAAGAAATATCGTTCCGTAATCTCTAACGATTTTCGTTCGCTAACGATGTCGAGAGTGTTATGGTAAATATTAGATAACACTTATTTGACTTATAAAGCCACCAAGAAAAATTATTGGTACGCTAGTGGTCCTACTGGTTAGGGCTGAATGAGAACAGATTTCTCGCAGGGAGGGATAAGCAGCAGACAAGAGAAGAGTTCGAGGCCTGAGAAGTGAGAAGAAAAGAAAGAAGAAGAAGAGCAGGGAGAAAGTCTGTGTTTGGCTGTTTGGTCAGTTTGGTTATGTTGATATCTGTGGCTGTGCTGTGTTTACTATTTTGGATCTGATCTGATGAATACAACAAATAATGTCAGGGAAAGAAGTTCTCACGTTTATAATTTCGAACGATTAATTTTTAGTAAATATCCTATCAACATTTCATCGGTAACCGTCTTTCAGGGATGTTTGAAACTGTAACACGCCTTGTTTTGATCTCTGAGAGATTTCCTGAATAGTGACAACAAGTCAACTGAACAGTATTTTTTTGACAATATATTTCATTATTATAAGCAAAAGTTCATTATTATAACATTTCAGTATGTTGATTGATATTACTAAAGAGTTTAGAAAGTATTCCAAACATTGTCATAGTCTGAAACGTATAATACAAGAAACTGAAAGTTCTTTTGAAGAGATTAACAATTCAATACAGTTAGTCGGTAAGTATACAATACCTAATATAATAGATTCTTGATTCTACATACAAACATGTTACAAAAATTGCCCATACTTGACATGCCATGAGGAATTGAAGTAGGTACTTAAATAATTTTACAGTTTTTTATTTTATCTATTGTATCTCAATCCACTAGCTTATATACCAAGGTGTTTGTTCTTTTAGATGAGATAAAAGAAGATTTACTGAAGACAGGTATCAATCAGTTGAGGCCAAAGCTAGAACAAAGTCCAACAATACTTGTATTTGGGCAAAACTGTAGGGCTAAAGCATCATTTGTTAATACCTTTTTGGGGCAGAATATCCTTCCTTCTTTTAGCTCTAAATGGAGATGTGTAAGTGTTGATTATTTTGTATTGTCAAATATATCATTCACAAATCACAAATGTACCTACAGGTTTTCCTTATAATAGTGGAAACCAAAACCTCACCATATAATATTTTATACATCTCTAGTACTACTGCATATCTTTCCATATCATCATTCCTGTATTGGCATTGTCATCCTAAAGGTACTCATACTAGTCATACTTACCTCCATTCAAAGTGAATTTGTTGTTTTTATCCAAGAAAAAATAGTTATTCATTCAAATATCTCCAACAAGAAAATATACATTTCACTCATCATAATCATCCACCCAATCATTAAAATTCTTCAATGTATGGTGTATATGTAGACAAACTAGTTGCAGACCAGATATCCTGTCTTAACCAAACACCTACATGAGAAATATCAATGAAATGAAAACTAATATATATATATACAGGGTGTTTCACAGGTAAAGGGAAATATTTCAATGGTAGATAAGGGTCACCAAGGTGGTTCTGAAAATACCATATTTGATAGGTCTTAGAGTCTTCATAACGGAGATTTATCTATTTTGAATAATTATTCATTCATATGTATTGACCTACCCAGTGTATTTTTCTCAAATTTGGTAAGGAGCTTATACTTGGGACGTTAAATTTATTCACCTATCGGGCGGAGTGAAAATCCAGGTTCAACTTCAGGAAAAATTTACGTTTATTCGAAATATTAAAATAACACACTGTATTCAATAATTAAAACAGTACATCAAAAGAATTGTGAAGAGGAGGGAAAACTGAATTGGGCTTTATGTTTTTTGTTTTCTCGCCACCAATTCTCATCGTAACAATCTTAAACGGAAAGTTGAAAGTATGTCAATTTGAAGAGTATTGAAATTATGAAACCAGTGTCGAATATGATTATTCGATATTTTAGTCAAAAAATCGGTCGGAAGAACTTACTAAGTCTCACAGTCTTTATAACGGAGATACAGGGTAAATTATCGGTTTTGAATAATTATTCACTCGTCCGTAAGTATCAAACTACCCAGTAACAAGACTATGAGACTTTTCCTGGAGCTGAACCTGTATTTCCATTCTGCCTGATAGGTCAATGAATCCATCGTCCCAAGTAAGCTCAATACCAAATTTGAGAAAATATTACTGCGATGGGTAGTTTAATACTTATGGACGAGTGAATAATTATTGGAAACCAATAATTCACCCTGTATCTCTGTTATTAAAACTGTGAGACTGAGTAAGTTCTTTCGAACGATCATTTAACAAGAATATATCAAATAATCATGATTGAAAGTGGTTTCATAATTTTAATACTCTGCAAATTGACATACTTTTAGCTTTCTGTTTATGATTGTAATGAATAGAATTGGTGGCGGGAAAACAAGAAGCATAAAATCCATATCAGTTTTTCCTCCTCTTCACGATTCCTTTGATGAACTCTGTCAATTATTACATACAGTGTGTTATTTTAATATTTCGAATAAATGTAAATTTTTCCTGAAGCCGAACCTGGATTTCCACTTCGCCCGATAGGTGAATGAATTCAACGTCCTAAGTATAAGCTCTATACCAGATTTTAGAAAAATATACTGGGTAGTTCAATACTTATAGACGAATGAATAATTATTCGAAATCGATAAATCGCCCTGTATCTCCGTTATGAAGACTCTAAGACCTATCAAATATGGTATTTTCAGAACCACTTTGGTGACCCCTATGTACCATTGAAATATTTCCCTTTATCTGTGAAACACCCTGTATATTGATGAATACATACAGAATATAATATATTGCATACCTATATTTCATATCAATGTACCTACACAAGTTGGTAATTTTTAACACATCCGCTCTTTTCCTGATAAAATTCGCGATAATAGTTCTTCTTTAGATATTAATGGAATTTATTTTTCACAATGTCGCCAACAAGCAAGTTTGATTTGTTCATTTGAAACTGATTGAACATGTTGATAATGATATTCATATTTGATTCAAGGGTATATATATAAGTTGATATAGGAGCACTCAATCAATAATAATTTAGTATACCAAACCTATAAACTCATCATAGCTGCAAATAATTGAGGAACATTTGTGTTCCAATAGTCATTCACATATCCAACTACCTTTGCGTTGGAAAGAAATAAGAATCATGTCAGGAAAAAATATAGTTCTTCCAATGTCAGTTGGAGCGCCTCCAGCAAGAAATTATGTCCGCCATTTGCAGTGGTTCAATTTTTGCTGGTGCTGCGCCAGCTGACTTTGAAGAGACTATACCTCACCATGCTAGGTAGGATAGGAAAAAAACTATAGTTCGGCAAACAGCAAAAATGTTTTGAAATTCTCGTTGAAGGTGACATTCATTTACGGGCATACAAAAAATATCCACCTAACTTTGGGCCACGAAATCGAAATAGTGGAAAGACTTCAGGCGCACGAAAAATCGTGGACAACCATACCTGACGGTGATTTACAAAGAGGTGATAACGAGTGCCTCTTGGAATACTGCCCCTCACTTGAAGTCGAGTTGCCCCATATTGTTCTCAAAGAAAATGTCAAACTCATGGTACCACCCGACTGTCCTCCAGAACAATTGACTGAAACTTTGTATAAATATGTAGAAAACGTTCTACCGATTGTTGTGTATACCACGTCTGAAGGGGTTCTAAGTGATGCGGTAAGAACTTTACCCCATAGTTGAATAATATGAACATAATTTCTTCCACATTCAACGATGTTTCTTTTCAGAATATTCAGGAAATCCGTAAACTCAAAGATATATACAAAGTACCCTTTTTGGTTTTCTCAGTCTGGAATGGGGAAACAAAAACATGTAGCACTGAATCTCTCACAGAATCTGAACAACACTCGTTAGAACCAGAAAATGACCATGAGTTCAGAAATTTACAGAATTTACGTGATCAACTGATAAGACTGGGTAAGTGAAAGTGAAGGAATGATCAAGACTAGAATTCATCATCGAGAATTATCACAGACATTTTTAGGGTTAATAAGTGATAATGAAAATGTTAAGACTGTTAATAAAGGAGAAAGGAAATCTCATTGTTTGGAGTGTTCATTAGATACTTTGATAAGTGATAAGAGTGTAAATGAGGATTTTTTATCTCATATAAAAAATGTTTTGAGATATACGGTTTTGAGACTAGCAGCCAAACTAAGTGAGGTATGCCTAAAACATCAGTCTCCTGACGGAAAAAACGACAAATTCTGTTGCAGGTGCATAATAAATGTTTGAGGCAGTTTATACTTAGTGCTTTTGATATGGCACGCGAAATACAGATAACCCCAAAACGAATTGAGTATGCTCAGAAGGTTGAATTGCAACTATATGAAACATTGATGAACATTGCCTGTGAGCAACAAGAAGAAATAGCTGTAATCATTCAACGAACTCTTCTAGATATGAAATCCAATGTTGCTGAGGTCTTGGAAGGTTATAATGAAAGTGAATTTTTCTGTACTCATTTGTCACAATATATCGAACAATATCATTTTAGATGTTACTCTCAATCGTACAGCCAAAACAGTAACAATGGAAATACAGCAACTGGTGTTGAGTAGACTGAACACATCAGTCGCAACCCAAATCGTACAATCAGTGGGTTGCTTGCATGAAAGCTTCACTGGTACCTTGCAACGCTGCCTTGAAAGCCTAGAAAAAAACTGCCATGAACTAGAAGGAAGCGTCTCAGCTTCAGATGCTGTGAGGCAGATAGTCAGTGCAGCATATAATATCGATCTGAACTCTTCTTCTTCATTTTCAATAGTACATAGTTTGATGGATCGCTTGAAAACCTTATTGTCCACGTTTGCCCTCCCTTGGTCTTCTGGTGGACAAGTCCAGTGTCACTTTCAATGGCAGCTGCAAGTTGCAACAAATATGATTGACAAACTCAGTGCCTACAAACTTGCCAAGACCATATCTGTACAAGTAAGATTCGTGAAAACTCGGTATACTGTCACCTTCATGCTATTTTTTTTTTTCAGTTTAAAGAACACATAAAATCTTCCCATGAATCTTTTCAATCAGCTATTCGTTTATTAGAACATCAGCTATCAGGTCAACTTGAACAAACTGAAGAACAAAGGATAGCTATTCGCAAAAGGCATGCGCCGAGATTCGCTAGACTAACCTTAGAAAGTACCTCCCTCTGCGACCTCATCAGGTATGGAATGCCTAAACAGCTGAAAGAAATAGGCAGAGGTCAGTATGGAGTGGTATCAGCGTGTGAACCTTGGGCTGGAATAAACCCATGTGCCTTCAAGTCTGTAGTACCACCAGATGACAGACACTGGAATGATTTGGCCATGGAATTTTTTTACACAAGGTTAGTACATTTCTCAGAATGTGTTCCGAGGAAGAAAAATTCGTAATCAGGATATCTTAAATGCAGTATGAAGGAAAAAAGAATAGCTTACTTTCAATTAGTTCATATATGAAGCAATGAAAACAACTGAAAAATAATTCCTTGTTTGTACATTGTTGATCAAAAATCTGAATGGAAAAGTTTCCAGACTCTTGCCTGATTCTGTATTCTCCACTAAATCATAAAAAGAGTATTCATCTTGCCATTTTCGCTCATCTGATAACAAATGTTTGAACGTTTCAATAATTCATGGTGTTCTATTTTTTATTCCATGACCTACATTGTTTATGAACATCTGCGTATGGTCATAGATCTAAATTTTAGATCTATGGTATGGTAAAGATGCGAGGGACAGCGATTTATTAATTACTAATTACTCTTACGAAGGAGGTTATACACCGGTAGTAGGTACTGTAGGTACTACTAGTAGTAGTATTGTGGATAGGCTACTGCCAGGCAAGTAGGCCAACCGCTGCTCTCCGAAAATCTCCACATCCTTCTCCTAGTTGATCTTCCTGACCTGATGGAGGCCAAGATGCCCGTCTACTCTGATTCGAATAAGTTCTCTCACGTTTATCCAACCCAAAGTTTTCGAATATCATCCTTCCTTACGCTTCTTCATGGTGTTTTATTCCATACTCCATTACCTAATAGGTATTTGTAGTAGGTACATACATGATATCGCGATTTTTTTCAGAACAATTCCTGAACATCCGCGTATAGTCAAACTCCGAGGGTCAGTGATAGATTACTCTTACGGAGGAGGTACTACACCGGCAGTCTTACTTATCATGGAAAGGATGACCAGAGATTTGTACTGTGGCCTAAGATGTGGTTTATCCTGGCATGTGCGATTACGGATAGCCATTGATGTTATCGAAGGCATCCGGTACTTGCATTCTCAAGGTTTAGTTCATCGGGACATCAAGTTGAAAAACGTTCTGGTAAGCGATCGATGTCTTTGAATTCGACTACTTGATTCTCTTTTGTGTTATTTGCAGTTGGATGCGAGAGACAGAGCTAAACTGACAGATTTTGGCTTCTGCATACCAGAAGCCATGATGTCTGGAAGTATTGTTGGTACTCCAGTTCACATGGCACCAGAGTTGTTGAGTGGTCGATACGATTCGAAAGTTGACGTATATGCCTTCGGCATTCTGTTTTGGTACATTTGCGCAGGTCAAGTGAGGCTCCCGACACATTTCGATCAGTTCCAGAATAAAGAGCAGTTATGGAATAGTGTCAGGAGAGGTGAATATTGGTAAGAGATATGAACGTTAGATATTTGAAAAGCGTGATATTTCAGGGATGAGGCCAGAATGTCTGCCCAATTTCGAAGTTGCTTGTTGGAATCTAATGGAACAATGTTGGGCTGCTGATCCTACTGAAAGGCCTTTGTTAGGCCATGTGCAGCCCCAGCTGGAAGAAATTTACAACAGCGTTAAGAACAAAACTTTCGAAAAGTTGGGCAGTTCTACTAAAACTCCTACTTAGTTTTTATTATAAGCTGTAAGATCAAGCGCATGATCTTTTCTTTTTATATCAAAGATAATCGGCATAGAGCCAGGTGATTTTTATATTTTTATTTATTTGTTGTGTTTTGCTAGAATCTTTGATTATTCAAGAACTAATTCGAATTAAACCTACTTTTGGTTTATTTCTCGACGTTGTGATGAAATGTGTTATCCTTATTCGTTTTTATTGATTCAACACGAATTTATTCAAATTTTTTGTAGGTATTCCTATGATTAGAGAGCTTTAACTTAGCTTATATTCTTGTAATTGTACAAATCTGAGATATATGTTAGTGATTTTTGTTTAGAATACTTTTGTGATCTTAGTTTCAGATATTCTTGCACCCGTCTCCGAAATTTCAACGGAAATATATTTGTTTATAAAATGCCATGCATGTTTCATTATTGATTTATACCTATTCACGGAACTACCATTATATTAATAAATGTAAAATACACCCAAATGTCAAACGTCATATACCGGGTGTCAACGAAACTATTATAGGGAAGTCATACCTTATGGAAATTAGGTGTATCAAAATGTGATCGCAAATGAATTAGTATATCAATAGATTTATCGAAGAATTCTTTCATCAGAAAGTGCTTGTCAAAAAATGGCCGCCCTTTGAAAAATAATAGTTAGACACGAATTGCCAACTTATCTTTTCCCTATATCTTCCCAGGAAACATGAATAGGCGGTAAATAGCCGGGCCATAGTTGTCAGCAGCGGGTATGTGTCGGCAGCGGCAAACCGATATCGGCAAAATGTTAGAATGCCATAGGTTGTGCCGCCACGGCTTGACGTACGCATATCCATTATGTTTGTCATCCATTCCGTAATTGACCGTTATAGATATGTCACAATGGCACCGCTGTCGATTCGATGCTGGACACGAATTCCATTGTATAAATAATTTTATATTATTTTATTACAATAACAATATATCTCCAGAATCCTTATGCATTTTTTTTGTTGATCCCAGCAAACTATCGTCAAGAATTATATGTTATATAAAAATAATTATACCCGTTGTCTACCAATTTATTTTTGTGGCAATGATTTTGAGCCAAATATTTGTTCATTATACAGGGTGTTCTTTCTCAGCCGAGCCACTCCGTATATTTCTTATCCCATAGTGAGTGGAAACATTTCCCGAAACACGTCTAATGATTTTGTTTGGGGGACATCTTTTGACGTATATTTTGGAGGGAAATTTGAACATTTATTGATGTACACACGCAGGTTTGATTTTTTTGATTGGAAGCAAAATAAGGGCTTAGTAAAAATGGGCTTATACATTGTAAAAATAACCAAAACGTTCAAAGTGGCTCATTCGAGTTACAAAATCGATTTTTGGCGAATACGATTAATCAAATTTACGTTTTTCATACACCGTTGGGAAGAGGCTTAAGACCTTTCGAATGAAGTATCTCTCTAACCTAACCTAACCTAACCAACCCCTATTCAAGTTTGAGGGTTTGAAGCGCCCTCTATTAGGGGGTTGCTCGTTCTAGCCTAAAATATACGTCAAAATAAGATGTGTCCCAAACAAAATCATTCGACGTGTTTCGAGAAAATTTTCCACTCACTCAGAAATATATACGGGGTGGCTCTGGCTCGTCTGAGATGGAACACCCTGTATTATATAACAATGATGCACCACTGCAAAGTTCAGTTCTGTACCTATATTCGACAAATATTTGATTCACAGTAATAGATCAAAAACTGGAAAAGTAATGTGAATGTAATATTATCAAACTTAACCTATTCAAACAAACAAAATTTTCAAGTTACTTAACAGATAGGCTACAGGTTGTTAGACTGGATGATGTGCATAGTCAACAAGAAACTATTGAATACGGTGTGCCAAAGGGAAGTGTTTCGGGGCCCCTATTGTTCAATATCTATATGAATCGCTTGTTCTCACTTCGCGAATGTAATTTTCTGACATCACCTGAGGTCAACGGCTCATTAGATTAGTTTACGTCCGATCAAAGCCACCTAGATGTAATATTGGAAGTGACTAAAAAAATGAAGTAGGCATAAAAACTTTCAAGACAGTTTATAAGGTATGACACGCTCGGAGAAGACATACCATCCGCGTTAGGTTATTCAACCACTCTGGCACGGATATCGCTCACTTTCCTTGTTAGGCAAATTGCTGCTATAATACTTAGGCAATCGGGAAACGAGAAGCCAAAAAAAATAAAAAATAAAACGTAAGAGCAAGGAACATCTTCGAATGAAAACATTTGCCATCTGTTGAAAATTGTGATTTCCACCGCGAAAATGGCTGGAAACCTGTATATTAAAACTCATGAAGGGTGCCACATGAGGCCCGAACAGCTAAGCAATACAGCACACGTGCCATATAATGTGACGTGATAAAGTAACAAACCCCGCAAACATCCTAGCCATATCAACCACCATAAATTCTCGATCACAACTTAAAAACCTAAAAGCGATGATATCAAAATATATTTTGGAGGGTTCGATGCGTGAGGGCCTCGGAACTGATTTGTCGGAAGTATTCCGCGGATACACACGTGCAGGTCGGGTGGCGGATATTAGATAAGCTGGCTGAATCGCAGGAATCGCTCTTAGATGCGTGTTTTTACGTGTGGAGAAGTGTGAGCATGGTGCGCATATGTAATTTCGGCCTAATTGACTGCGTCACTCCATCAAATCCTGGATGGGGGATTAATAATCTATCGGAATTAATGCGTGGGATAAGATTCTCAGGCCAATATATCGGTATTTCTTCTAGCTATAGTAGATGAGCAATTAACTCTTCGGCTTTATTTGGTAGGTAGGTACCATGCTCGCGAAATCCAATAACTTGGTAGATTTCAATGCAAACAAAACACAAGCATGACTTTTCTCTAGAAAAGCCGATCTCACTGTGCCCAATATATGCTTGTCAGGAGTAACCATACCTTTGAAGATATCCATGACCATGACTAGCAGCAAAAACCTATCTTGGGAAAATCACGTGAGATCAATTGCTAAAAGTGCATCCCAAGAACTTGGTTTTCTGTTTCGGGCCAGGAACTATTTCACTTCCAGTCAGCTGCTTATGATCTATATAAGACACAGATCCGACCTGTCCTGGAATACTGTTCCCATATTCGTCTGGGTGATGCCTCGCTCAAAAACTCACACACTTCTCTGGAACACCGTAGAAAAGTTGGCGATCTGGCTTTATTTTATAGATATTTTCATTGACGATGCTCTTCTGAAATATCAACAATTGTTCCTCCCTTATTGGCAGTCCCTGCGAGATTAACCCGTCGAGTTGAAGCTTCGTACCCCTTCGTGGTCACTTTGGAGACCTGCAGAACATCTCTTTCCAAAGAATCTTTTATCCAACGAACAGCGAGGCTCTGGAACACATTGCCAAGAGAGGTGTTCCCTGAGGCATATAACCTCCAGAAATTTAAGAAGAACACCATTTCCTACCTTATTTCCCTTGGTTCCCACGATGTTCTCTGTACATTATAGGATATCCCTTTTCTTGGGAACAAGAACATAAAAAAATGCAGGGTCATTTGAGTAACTTTGCAACAATCGTTCGAAGATTTTTTTAATATTCCATAATAAATCTCCTTTATATATAGAATAACTTATTGTCCAAGTATTCGGATCTCCCTATATTTCTACGCAATGTAGAGTGGCCTTAACCCAAAAAAAATAGTTTTATACTGGGTGTTTCAGAGTTTCATGGTTCATCAACACAATTATCAGACATTTACTGGAGTAATCAGATTTGATCCAGAATTTCCAGGGGCGTACCCATCGGCTTTTTCTGTAGAAAAAAAGTCATCGTGCTTTTTTTTTCGGGTTCTTCTCAAATATACAGATGAACTTACTAAAAATACAACATTTCTGTCTGTTCCTATTTTTTCGTGTCTTGTTTCGTTTTCGAGAGAAACGGACAATAGGTACATGCCTGGGCATACTTCTGGAACCCCATATAAGAATGCTTAAATATTATCCGAAAATTTATTGCACAATATTATTTATGAAAACGATGAATACTTACATAAAATTCAATACCCTCTCGAGAAATGATGAGCTGCAAAACGGTTCTATGGGTGAGAAAGTTGAATTTTAAATTAAGTATAGGCTTTAATTACCTACGTCTATATGTTAACCTTTTTTTATCAAATATGACAAGAATAAATTAAGCCCCTGAATCCAATTTCATCACTTTATGATAGTAACCTACGTCTACTTGATTTTTTAAATCTCTTTTGAAGCACACGAAAGGGAATCCCTATCACTATTGGTAAAGAATTCCAAAGCTTTGCCGTTCTGTAGACAAGCGAGTTTTGGTAAAGAGTTGTTCGAAAAAGGTATTTCGAAATTGACGATGAATGGATTTGCTGCCTGATAGGCGTGTCGTGTACTTCTGACATGGTATTGCTAATGGTATAAAATGAAATGAAAAGATTTCAGATAGCAAATATTTCTGATAGCAACGATTTTTAACTTATTTGATGAAACAAAAGGACAGGGTGGTCCAGATTTTTGTGAATTAATTTCGGTTCTGGGACCACTATTATTCATAACATATACTAATTATATTTTTCACTTTTTGTCTCCTATAGTATGTAAGTGCTTTGCTGATGATACAACTTTATTAGAGAAAAACAGTAATGTAGATTTCCTGGAAGTAGCAATAAGTGAAGCTGAGGATAGAACAGATATGGTTTTCGTCAAATTGAATAGAGATAAAACCCAAAAACTTCGTGTTACAACAGATAATTAAATCTCCAGAGGTGAAAATATAAACTTACTTGTCATAATTATTGATGATGGCCTGAAATGGACTGAACATATTGACCAGTTGAGTGCTAAACTTTCCACTTGAGTAATTTTGCTAAGGCAATTAAAAAGAATTTTGAACCATGCAACCATCTTATTAATTTCATATTTCTCGCTATTTCAATCGATCTCGACTCACTTATGGTATTATTTTGTGGGGCAACTCTAGGCAATCAATCAGAATTTTTCGTATGCAGAAACGAGCGGTAAGACTAATTGCTAATACTGCTTATGATTCCTCATGTAAACCATTGTTCACAAAATTTGATATATTGCCTTTACCGTGTCTATTCATCTACTATTCTGTGCTAGATATATACATAAAAATGAATGTTCTTTCAGAACTCATTCTGACATTCACAACCACAACACAAGGAATGTAGAACTACTGATGAGACCACCAAAATATAAACTTATCTACTACTTTGCAGAAAAACTCACCCAATTTACAACTAACTATACAACAAACTTTCTGATTCAATAAAATCAATGAACTTACACCTTTTCAAGAATCGAGTGAAATCAATCCTCAAATCACACTGCTATATAACTCTATCCAA